TCAAAATCTATAGAAAAACGTCTGCTTGCGTGACAATCCTCTTCAGAACGGACTAGGTTATACATTATAGGTTTAGACTAACTATACAAGGAACTGGAATATAATAGTATATCTATTGACAGTTGTACGTATACATTTTGAATGCTCGCGTGCTGAAACACATTTAGTACTGCCTAATTTACCAGATGACACAATTCGTGTAAAATGAGACAACTTCTGAAAAAAACAAAATGAAACTGGAAGCAAAATTGCTTGAGTTGCGATTCAAACTGATGCTCATCAGAAAATAGAGGCAAGACTATTCAATGTTTTAGCAAAAACAAAAAGAAATTCATTATTTCGAAATTTCTAATTAAAATACGGAAAAGCTGCGTGCTGTCTTGCACTTCAACTGTTCTACAAAGCTTTGCTATGATTGTCAAATCGTGGCTAGAACAATTGCGTCCAAAGTTATATCCTAATGGTTAAAATGCAAAGCTAACCGAAATCGTTAAAGCAGATTACAATAAACTTTAAAAAATAATATAATTGAATCATTTTGACAATTTGATTTGACGACATCTTAAGGTCAAAGCTTTCAGCATCTTGGTCAGTTTTCTAAAGAATTCTTCGTTACAGAATGTGATACCACTGTCCTTAATAGATCCGTGACGTCATTGTAAATAACGCGACTATAAATAGCAACAACGACAACGAATCGGGTTTCAGTGCTGCTATAGTTAGAAGTTATATCAAGAGTGTTTTCACTACTTTTTACCCTTTTCACGAGGAGATTTATTTATCAGAGCATAACTGCAGCTACTTTTGCAGTTATTTTGCAGTGTATGAAAATATACCCTGAGCACTACTGCTGCAGTTGTGGAACTACGCGCTCGGAAAATAGTTCTTTAAAAACCTTTATTTTACACATTCCCTGGCACTTCAAACATCAATCGGATCTTATTTTATATGATCATTATCTTTATTTCAAATATTATATATTTTCCTAAAATTTTAAAAACAAATGAAGCAGATATGATNGGGATTGGGGGGAGGATCAGCGCATGACGTCAGCAGCTCTACCTCTATTGCTATCCTAGTTCCTGATCTCGCAGATAACATCGTCAGGAGACAGTTATACCAGTAGGTTTGCAACATCCATCAAGGTTATTACTACATTGTCATTCACCCAATAACCATCCTTCCCGCACATTTTACATGTACTAGTGTGGTGTCACCAACGGCAGATGTGGGCGGAGTTAACCAATGTTTTATGCAAATTTCAGAGCGTTACATTTATATTGAATCGATCAACCGCCAATAAGTATCTGAAAGAATAAAATTTGTGTCTGCTGGTCAAACACAAGTATAAGATCCATTCACAGAAAAGGACTGTAAATAAAGAGAACATTTTTCTGTTTTTGTCAGGTTATGAGTTTATGCCACACCAGTACAGCACGGGTTTTTATCAAATATGACACCGCCATGGACATGGACACGAATGTAAGATTCTTTATATCAAATCACATCAATTATAAATAGGTGCAATCAGTTATTTGTTATCAGCTGAAATATAGGACTAAACCAAAGTACTCCGATCATAGTATCGTCGTTCCGCGCAGTGCAACGTAGTTCCAGATTTAATGAACACGTTTTTAATTCAGTGATTATTATAATGACGAAATAAACATTTTATATTAATTTTATAACAACACCATTAAAATGTATCAGAAAAAAATGCAACACCTTAAGTAAATATAAGTGGTGCCTGTAGTTGTGTCACACCATATTTACGACTCCGTTATGTGATATATTCTATGGGTAAGTAGCAGTTCTTAAAAAAATAATTTTACGACATACGCAAACTAGCGCCCTGGATATCACATTTTCCTTTTTTCAATCAATCTAGTTAATTGTTGTCTTAATTCTTAACTAACAATTACATATGCAGGTTTAAAGTATATTTTAAGCAAAAAAATCAATAAAAATAATCCTTCTCATTTTCAATGACATTACAGATTGTGCAAAGCCTCCGTTCCCTTGGGATATTTCCATGCAGCCATTAGCGATTTCCGAATCACGAATAAAAAAAACCTATATATTTTAACGATTTATGCCTGACATATGTACATTTCGAACATTTCTACAATACACGTGGGAGTCCAGTAACTCTTATTTAAGAGATATAGAAAGAATATGTAGCGAGTATAAAAGACAAATACAGCTTAAATAATTAGGATAGAAGGTCAGGCTTTTTGATGTCGATGACAAAACAGTCACGTACATTTAAAAATTACCATTTGGAAATAAAGGTCAAAACGGAAAGTTAAGATCCTCTATTAAAATTATAAATCGTGAAACAGAGATTCTGGGGCAGCATACTATACTTAGCATACTAAGCTGATGTTAGTACAAATGTATATCGAGTTCTTGAAGTTAATGTTACTTAGAGAACTAAGCGTGCTTCCGGCGGAAGTTATACAGAAATTTACCGGAGGTACTTATGAAGCAGTCATTATGCTCTAACTAAATATTCTATGCTTACGTCAAATATCTTGTTCCGGTAATAACTAAATCATTTTTTTAGTGATTCTGAGGACATTTGGAGAGACTTGATGCTATGTGCAATGTCTATCACTTGTATGAAATCCCAGGAGTCTGCTCTCATTCTACAATGTACACATCTCCTCAGCATCAGATCGGCTCTATCACAAGGAGGCAAATACACCAACATACCAAGTATCCGGCACACATACACACATGCGCGCATACACAACAGACATTGAGGCACGTCCTTAAATGACCTTAGCTGTTTGCAGGACGTTAAACCATACACAACCAACCAATTACATATATTCTCCACAGACATGTGTGCACCAAGTGTTAGAAATCTAGTGGTCACGCTCTCAAAATTCCTGTCGTCTCTAGTTGTTTATCGAAAGCGGAGCCGTTGTTTCCCTTTAATCTGCAAAGATGTAACTTCTTATCTTTCTCAAAATCGCTTTTAATTTATATTTGATTTACATTGTAATTCCGGTTGGCATTACATATATGCATTGTACTGGTAACGCAACGTCCGTAATTTTACATTGCCAAGACTTTACATACGTGTCATAACACTTGTTTTTGTTTCCTTTTCCATTCTATAAAATGCACAACTTGTATTTCACTGTATTTGAATAAAACCAAGCTTAATTAAACCAAATGAAAAAACGCTAGTCGCTATTGGGGAAAATATGGCTTTAATTATTGTCAGTTCGTTTTTGTATGTTAAAATTCTCTACGAAATAGTTTCATTTCGTATAGCAATGTTTTTGAGCAGCTATCATATAACTAACGGAGCCAGCAGACATAAAGATATTTGAGAAACGTCAAGACAGCTAGGCCCAGACACACCCAAGTCTCCGCCACAGTAGGAAACCAAAAACAATTTCTCCGAGATAATTAGTACCTGCTTACTAAACCATCATCGTCAAACTTACTTTCAAAAAACGTCAGACAAGCTTCGTCATAACTATCACAAAACACCATAATACAAACTAGTAAAGACTTCGACACCTTCCCAACAACGGGAAAATATGTCACATGTTAGGTTCCGAAATGTGGCGCAATATGTATATATACTAACTTGGTAAACTAGACGAATGGTTCACGTTATGCCGACTGTCATAGGAAAAGCCATGGAGTTTCGGCAGGCTCGGCCATTATACCATGTTACCACTGACAATTTTACTAGCGTTGACATACTCTTCAGTCGCTTTAAGTAGATTTAGAGCGAGATGGCCAAGTTTTATCCTCCTCCAAACGAGACCTATAGTTATCGTGCGTTGCTAATGCTGGTATACAGCTCGCCAGATAGCCATATAACAGAATATCACGAACGGGTTACGTCACTTACTCACCTCCGACCCAGGGGACAGCAACGACGTATTCGTGGTCCTGCACGGAGAAACCGTCCACACAGATCCCCAAACGTATTGTAAATAACAAAACCTGGCCTATTTAAATCCCGTTTTTGTTGGTACGAGCTTTTACCTACCGTACCGTATACACTGTATAGAAATTATACTTCTCCGGACGTTGGTTTAATTATCGCTCGATTCTTACTCGTGTTTGCGTGTGTTGGAGAATGTATTTGATTGGTATATACATGTGAATTATTTCTACTTTTGAAAACAAACATAGCGTTATTAATTTCGATTGATTTCGCTGATGCATGTCATTGCCGCAATGCTCATTATAAGCCCTGGACGCTGGGGCCCATGTTTGAGCAGCCAAAATATCAATACATTCAACCCCGGATAGGAAATCAATCTCGAACCACCGGTCGTACTGTCAAATGTCTTTCTTTGATATGAGCAACATTTTGTGTTTTTATTTGTTGAAGAAGAATACCTACACGGCTCCTCAAAGGTAAAAGAAGTTCGATAACAAGATTTGACGTAGTTCTGTTGGACAAGAGTAAACAAACGGGGAGCATAGGACAAAACAATTCTATAATTAGTTACAATCCCGGGAGGAGGGGCAGTCACGCCCACTCCTCTAGAAACCGTAGGGAAAGGCGATGATGCTATGAAATTAGACTCAACCCTCTATAACAGAACTTTGTCACGTGATATTTTGAATTAATCAAAACGTGTATCGTTGATATAATAAGCTGTAAGCACACACCTATACGCTTCTACAAGTGAACCAGCGATATTTAACAATGCTAAACCCATATTGCGTTGGTCTATATTCTTTAGCGTGAATACAATTAACAAGCATTCAAAAATGAACTTACAGGTCCAGTATTTGCGGGTCTATAATGTTATAGAAAAGAATTGAATAAGGAAAGTGGTTTTAAGTATCAGGTGCTAGTCTAATGTGAGGGAAACCTTCGGTAAATCGTGCAGCCTTTTAGCGTACGCTTTCTTCAAGTATTGAGTCTATGAAGCAACCGTTTGAAGTCTGAGTTAGTTTTCCACTTTGTGATATTTTTACCTTTGATTTCCTGTCACCTGTATGATAGCATTACTCACCTGAAGTCTTCCGATTTCTGCCTGATGCTCCGATTTTACAGGTGAGAAGTTGTAGAGAATGATTCCCCTGGAAGCATCACTTGCATCTGACCTCTGGTCAGTGTCTAGTGTCCGGAGGGTGGGGTCGCCGGGTGCTCGGGCTTACTACCTCACACGTTCCATCTGTTATAACGCAAGTTGAGTGACCAACGGTCAAGCCTCATGCTGAGTGGCATAGATAACCATAAAACACAAACTACGACGACGCAGCGGCTAATTAGCAGGGATTATTTGCATTAAATTTTAAGTTTATCACAAACGGCGTCCATATTGCCCCGATAACGTGTTTGTATAGCTAATTGGCTAAGCAGGTTTCATTAAAACTAACAATTACACCGCGTTATGGTCGCCTGCCAGTCATTGTTGAGATTATCACTCTCCCATAAAACGTCCAGTTAATGAAGTTTGACGACATCGGACGGTGTCAGAGCTCAAACATCTTAAAATGAAGTAGACAATTGCAGGCCAAGGTCTCGTTCCGTATGAAGTGGTCAAGTACGGCCAAGTTTTTGGTCAAGTATTCGATTTATCACTCCAAATTGCTGTTACGTTCACATACAGCCAAACTCGAACATGTGTTACCAATCGAGCTAATCTACACAGCGAATTTTGTTCTATGTATCACTATACTAGATGGACACCTCATGAGAATGATCTGTTGCGGCGATGATCATCGGAGTGGTTATCACACAGCGCTATGTCGCGCGGTCTGTTTGTTTTCGCTGTCTAACACGTTTCTCGTAACATCGTTTCTTTACTCCAACCGGCTCATTACTCGTGCTTGCTTCAATTAGCAACTCAATCAACAAAGAGCCCTCCCTAGCACTGGTAGATTCTGTCCTATTTTCTTGTCGATTTCCGATCCTTGTGAGAGAGAATACCGTTGCTGGCTCACCAGCGCAGTACTGATACCCCGCAGCTAGACCGTATGTAAGTATGTGACTATACTGTCACATGCGTGCTGTGGAAACTGACACCGTTATTTTTCGGCAATGTTTTATAGACACATAGCAAGCGCTATGTTAGAGTTTTTTCGTCGATTCGGGTACTGTTTCATATCTTTGTTCGGGTTACGCTCAGCCCCTGTGTGTTGTCACGAGCTACATCAGTACACCTCCCATTGATCTGACAGACCTATCGCATCAGTTTCTCCAGGACGGTAATTGATTACTCAAACATTCGGACAAAAAACGCTAATTCGAGTAATTGTTGTTGGCTAATTGATTGATGTTGTTTTTGTGTGTCCAGCTGCCGAAACTATGCTAGGTATTCTTGCGTCTGTTTTAGGCAGGTTTCGTGTTTCCGTTTCGTCCACATTTGTCATAATTTCAAGGACAAAAATATACGACCGACTGTCGATGCAATTGCTCCATAGTCGGAGAATAATAGGATATATGACACCATTGATTTTTACATTTTTTAAGGATTTGGCCGTATTTTGAACAATTGCTATTTATTATGACGACAGTGCAGTGACAAGTGAGATATCGCCATGTTGACTATTATGTGTAACTACGTATACGGGCCTCAGCATGATGTTTTATTACATACACTAGTTGTTTTGATGTATTTCTATGCAAAAAAGGGAATCTTTTTTTAAATTCCTTTAAAATTGTCTATAAATGAAATCTATGAAGAAAATGTACCCATAAACGACTGTTCCCATGACAAGTCCATAAACGACCGCAGTTAACATTTTGAATTTCGAGTTTATCAAATTGCTTGTCTCCCTCAACACCAGTCAATAACTGTGAATTGTTCTTTATAGCCTACCCTCAATCATCTTTTGTAACACTAGTATATATATATACAATGTACTAATATATACAGTAAACTTCGATATAATGCCCTTCGTTCCATTTGCCACAACGCTTAATGCCATTATATTTCAAGGCTCTTTTTTCGTATGTTTCTTCATAATTCCTTAGTAAGTTTTACTGTGTTTATCGCCAAACCCCTTTAACAGTCTTAATTATCTGGACAATAACTGGCAGTATAACGAGGTTACGAACCCGCTTTATGATGCCAAAATTATCTGAGCCAGGAGTGGCAGCATAAAGAGATTATGATTGAACTCTCAATGACAAAGATATCAAGTAACATAGAAATAAAATTGATAGTGTAATATCATGACTTCCTGTTTTTCTTCATTACGGGCACACATTGAATACGTGTCAAGACAATATACGACATAGTTACTGTTCCGGAACTATTTATAGTATAAGGAGCTTTGGAGCCATCCTTGGAATATTGAACGTGTCACATTTGTCATTTTTTGGCCGTGAACTCTATCTTAAGGGAATATGTAGAGGGAGCACCAGACTTCTCTCGGAGCTTTGGGTCGGATCTCGTAATAATGTCGAATGATTTGATAGTTTTCAATTTGTCTGGAGCAATTATTTCGAGCTGGGTTTCCAGTTCCGGGAGTAGGCGCAGATGTCGACTGATGGCGCCAATCATTGGCGGAATGCTGTGTGGATACTGATCGCCGGCTGACGGACTCCTCACTGACCAACGGTCAGCGGTGAATAATGACCAGGATGATTTATACTTATACGGTCTGGAAAGAAAATAAACAAATAAACTGGACGTTAAGTCATTTATCAAAAGCTGGATTAAAAACTGGCCATGATATACCGCGCGCGCTTTCGATTTCCACACATCTTCTACAAGATGACCGTGTATTGTTGTCCAATACAATGTCCAGTCCAACTTATTAGCTCGTGTGAGGAGCAGGCAGGTCCCGTTTGTGGTCAAAACTGCCAATTATTAACTCTTCGAATGGCGGAACGGCTGTCAGAGGGCAATACTAACAAATATGTCTTTTTGGTGTACGCCCCGGAAAGGTCAGTCGAACAACATGTGTTTTTGTTGACCGCAGATGTTATCGGCAGAGGTAAACACAAACTGGACACGCCCCTATTAACATCTCGCGGTTACAACAAAACAGCTCAATACAACGGGAAAAACGAGCTAGACTATAACTTATGATATTCTTTTGTGGAAAAAATTATCATTTCACGTGAACACTGAAAACAAAATCAATTTTAAAACACCCGCAGTTGACAAAATTAGAGAATAGAAATATTGCAATCGCCTTTTCCAATCTCTGCAGCGTTAGCAAAAAAGAAATCCCGATTTAACATTCTAACTTTCACTTACTAGACAGAAACCAGATAACGTTTCCCAGAAGTCCTTTATTACCCGACCAATGCAATTGGAGTCGCAGAGGAATCGAGCATCGACCTTTCCACACCTTCTGGAACATAATCACGCGCCGACAACATATTCTCGCGAGATCAGGAAGCTTTTCGTATCAACAATATTCAATCAAATAGATATCTAAATGATAAATCGAATAAAACCGGAATGTAGTGCGTGCGTGTGTGTGTTTGAGGTGGTATGTAGAGAGGAGATGGGAACCTGTTTTCATATGTACATGGTTCAAATTAACAGCGTCATAATTCATTTATATTGTGTAGAATGTCATGTTAATATGGCGCTATTTTAACTCGACGAGTGATCATGAAACTTAGTTCTGTTGACAGCGTATGGTTGAATCACGTGACACATGAATAAATCACGCGAATACGGTCGTGCTCGATTAAGCTGTTGAAAGTAAATGATATATGACACATATTTATTACACGCCATCACTGCGCATGCGCTGGGTGGAAACATCGATCTTGCTTATGCTACGGTGAAGCTGGAAGAAATAGATTTGTTTACAAGAACATCATAACCGGTAACCTTCGCCAGAAATTGCATTGTAGTCAGCTTTGATTGCTTGGTGTCGTAAAACCGCTAAGTTAATTTGTCATCATACTAAGAAATGTCAAAGCGTTTACCGAGAGTTTAGGTTTGGTGTTTCCAAGGATAGCACTGTATTGTCAGGACTGGGCGCACTTCTTATAGAAGCTTGATAGGACCAGTTTTCCCGACACGGAGGTTCACGGCTGACAATAAAGTTGCCATTTTATTACAACATTCTCTTGGAAATCCAATCAATTCGATCGGCATGAAGATTACTCTCGGGAACCTCGTAACAAATAGTGCATAGGGTGTGAAATGTTTATCAAGGGTTTTCAGGGTAGGGGAAAGCTGTTTTGGAGTCCTGGCGGAGAAGTGGGGTGTATGGGAGGGGAAATAGGAGTGGGATTGGTAGTTGGGGAGGGGGTTGGGGTTGGGGTTGAGGATTGAAGAGAAATTGACCTGCCTGAGTAAGGTACAATAACAGTTCACGGTCGGAGACAGAACAAAGTCACGGAAAACAAAAGTGATCTTGACACCTGACACCGCTATTGAAACCAGTATCTGATTTACATGCGCGTGAGCGCGAGATATTGAGAATCGAACAGACGATCACTTCATAAAATATTTCTCGTTGACTCCCGACCAGACTGGATTAAATGTACCAGTGAATGGATTTGGGTAGTTGAAATACTTGAGATGTAATGACTCCGCGCGTCTGAGGTAGAACCAGTCGTCCTTACCATATGCCCGCGGTAATTAGCCCGCTCGAAATAACGCGACGAAATGGGCTGAAAACGATCTGTTGAGCGAAGCCCATTCATAAAGCTTCATTGAGAATCTTAATTTGACGAAAATGAAGATAAAAATCTGGGAATCACAATTTAGGAACAGCTTGACACGGACGGTGGGTAGCGAGACACGGTTCACCATTGAGTGGTTCAATTTACGACGGACCATTGTGCGTTAGTGTATTGTGAACTTAAGTGCGTTGACTGAGCAAAACATTTTATATGCTGGTCAAGTTGTGTCTTTTCTGGACTTTCCCGACGGACTTTAGGTGATCCCAAACGGATCTTAAGTTTAACAGGTACTTTTGTAGTATTTAAGCCCAAACACTAATCGCCTACTGACGGAGCGGCACCTTGCATAATCGTGCGGAACCGTGTTTACGTATTTACTGCCATTTTTATTGCTGAACAAAAGGTATGCGGTTCACACAGACAATAACGTCAAAGTCCATGTGTTGTACTAGTAAAATGTGGTTTGTTAGACACACTCGTTATGTATGCCGGTGAAGGTATGCGCTAATTCCTGACAATTTCTGTATTAAGCCACTGCCGAACACCATCTCACAATAACAGGACTATCGTAAGTTTTTTTGTGTGCTCCTAGCTCCGCGACAGACTCCCAACATCTGACATTCTCGTCGTTATATGAACTGTTTATTGACATTTCTCAGAATCATGAAATGTTCAATTCGTTTTGGAACCAAGAGACTTGTTAATGCTATCATATATCGTCTGAAGGGTTGAGTTGAGATGCAATGCCTGGAATATATTGCAGTCGTTAACTTTTAAAGACGTCGTTTGAACCGGAAGTGCAATATCCCTTGAGGGGGTAACTAACTGTTCGCACAGCCATTGCGAGTGTTTCGAACAAAGTCGAGAATTAACTCAGAATCATATTTGAAGCCTTACCTGTTAGAGTCACAACTACAAACCGTTGCAATCTATTGCTACTAAGTTGCAAGTTGAAGGTAGAAATATAAAGATTGGGTCATAATTATCAATGCAATAGATACACGTAACAAAGGACTAGGGGCGTTTAGGGTCATGTTCGGCCTCGTTGGGGATTCAGAATTAGTTGTTATATTCGTTATCTGGAATAAAGTACGCAAATATGAAATTTCAAATTCAGTCGACAACTAGTTTAGGAGATATGGCATTACAAAGAGAGACATAAACCCACATTTTCATAATAATAAAATGCGTTAATATCATCTGTTGTGCTCTATTTGGTTGAAAACTCGCCATTTAGAAGGAAATTAACTTAACACTTTTCAATTTTTAATAGTCTGCGCATGCACCAAACAAATAAATAATTGACATGCTTAAATACTGTCATACCAGTGTTCATTGTCATACCAATGTTCATTCGTAGAAAGGAATTTTCGTTTGTC